CAGCCTACAGCAGACAGGCCTGTGCTGGGGTTTCCTCAACCACCTGCCCCTCCATCAAAGACTCCCTCGCCACCTCCCATGGACCTGTCTTGGGTCCCCCCTGCCACGTCCACTCCATCAAGAGAGAATGGGGACACCTCCCTTTGTTTTTCATCCCCGCCTTCACTGTTAGACCTACCTGAACACTCTGCAAGGCTAATAAAATCGGTGATGAAGAGTATTCCTCTCACACCCATATTAGCTAGATCTAGAGTCCTGTCCAACATTGTAAACCACTCCCCATATGTACCTCCAAAACCACCTAGGGTTCCAATTCACCTACAAAAACCACCTCAGCCAGTCCCTCCCCTAACCTCATGACCATTCCACCCCCACTTCCCCCTCATTCAACACCCAAAACCTCTGCCTCAGCCCACCCCGGCCCTAACCCATCACCAAAAACCCCTCCACCTCCCTGCCCCCCTCGTTCAACACCCAAAAGCCACCCACCTCTCTATCCTCCTCCCCCGCCTTCCCCTTCCCCTCTTTTCTCTAAACACTAGGATGCACAGGGTCTCTGCTTCGCAGCCACTGGCAGTCTAGTTAGAGGAGAGACCTGGCTGGGGCCCTGTCATGAAGCCACCTGTGCCATTCCCTTAGTGATAACACAAAGAACACATTACAGAAAAACATCTGGACTTAATCAGTCTAATCTGGAAAATCTAATTCTTGTTCCGTGTAAGAAACAGCCGACCGCAACCGCTGATACTGAAACTTTGAAACTTGCTACGCTTAAAGGCGCTATACCCGTTTCTGCAATGTTTGAATGTTTAGCACCGCCCCCCAACTCGCTCACAGGCTTCTCATTTCCCCTACGCTCTCATAACACGGAGCCACCTAGTTTTATTTGCGATCTGATACGTATGCTAACATTAGCATTAGCACAACTTCTTGTAAGCTGTGCAACAATCACTGATGAAATGGTACTAAAGCAACGCACTGCTAACACAATATATAAGTAAAAGAATACCATTAGTTTCGCGTCCGGATGTATTAATTTAAACATTAGAATATATTCTAATATTTAATTATAATGTATTATAAAGCTCCTCACAGCAGCAGCACTCCATTGACTTGAATGCAATTCTTCCGATCATTTTTTCTTGATAACAGAACTCTCAAACCAATAATGACCGCAGCCCCAATGCAATCTCTGTTTGTAATTCAGGTGTGTAAAATACTGCCATTACTTTGCAAGTACAACAAGCTATCAGCGCCTGTCACTACATTGTGCAGTTTTTCTGCACACTTGTCTGTGTAGAGAAGCTAGCGGAGCTAGCCACGCTCAATAAACAAATACATATCAATCAATCAACACCATTAAACGTCAATCGGACAATACAGTACACATATACATCCTTAACACACATGCACGGACGATTTCAGAATTTGCTGTCAATGTTTTCATGACAAAAATACTGTTTTAAAGTGACAAAGCGATCGCGAAAAACCCGGAAGTTACCATGAAACAGCTAGCTAGCTTAGCTGTTACCTGCCTAGCACGTCCCGGTGAAACCTTTGGGAGCTAACTATTTTATTTGCAGTCACATTTCTAATTATAAGGGTTGTCTAATATTTGTTCAAATATGTATATATTTTTTATTTTAGAATTATATTCGAATTTTGAAGTCGAAGCCCTGGTGTTAAGCAGCGCTGTAGGGGCTAGAGGACGCAGGCTGTTCACTGCTCGTCCTGTGAGTGGAGGAGAACGAGCGGCCCGCTCAGACTCTACTCAGCACTTTTCACTGCTTGTAATTCTTACACAGCTGAATCAATGACCTCAAGTTTTCAATTAAATTATGTATTATGATACAACTTGTATGTAGTAAAAAGCATTTTTATGAACTACTTAGAAAAAAAATTGGGTATAGCTTCTTTAATGTCAGATCTCTTTGTAACAAGTCTTTTTTAATCAATAATTTTATTTGTTCTCATAATCTTGATCTTATGTTCATGGCTGAAACTTGGCTTGACCAAAATGCAGTTTTAATAGAAGCATCACCACCAAATTTCAAGTTTGAATCTGAAATACGGGGGAAAAAAAAAGGAGGCGGCTTAGGTGCCATTTTTAGAGACCACTTTGTCTCCCATAGAATGTCTCTTGGGAAGTTTTCGTTATTTGAATATGTGTCTTTTAAAATACAACAGAAACAATCTCCTCCAATACTCTTCATTGTCCTATACAAGCCACCGCAGTCATGTCACAGTTTTATTGATAATTTTACCGAGTTGCTTTCAGTTGTATGCACAGATTTTGATAGTTTAGTTATTACAGGTGATTTTAATATTCATGTGGATAATGTTGATGACAGAAATGCAAATGAGCTGAGTTCTGTACTTGAATCCTTTGATCTCACTCAGCACGTAAGTGGCCCCACCCACAGCAGAGGGCACACTCTAGATCTGTTAGTTACTAAGGGGGTGAATATTTCAAATGTAAACGTGGTCGATGTTGCTCTTTCGGATCATTTGTGTTTTTTTTGACATGTGTTTCACTAACAAACCACCAGTGGACTCTACAACTGTTCGAAGAAGGCGCATAAATGAAAATACGAGTGAACTATTTATGGGAATGATAAACTTTGAGAATGCATCGTATTCTACTGTAGATGAACTGTTTAACTCTGTCACCTCTAGTGTTTTGAATGTTCTGAATACCGTTGCCCCTGTGAAGGTTAAAATAGTTAAAAATAAGCAGAAGGCGCCGTGGGCTAAAGCAGACTCGGTCAGGGCACAAAAGAGAAAGTGCCAGAGTGCCGAGCGGAAGTGGCGCAAGTCCAACCTCCAGGTTGATTACGAGATCTTCAAAGATAAGTTGTGCGAGTTTAACCGGGTGCTACGTAGTACGAGAGAAAGGTATTTTTCTGAAATGATTGAAGGCTGCAGCAACAATCTGCGTGTTCTGTTCAGTTAATAGATTAACAAACCCCCCTGTTCAAATGCCATTAGAGCTTACTTCCAAACGTAAATGCAATGAGTTTGCTAATTTTTTCAATGACAAGGTTCAAGGCATCAAAAACGCCATTGTCTCCAATCCACAGATAACCATCCAACAGCCAGAAAGGCTCTCTGAGCTAACTCACTTTGCACCTGTAAATGATAAAACTGTCCAAGAGATAATCTCCAGTTTGAGCTCCTCCACATGCAGCTTGGATGTACTACCCACTAGATTTCTGAAGTCTGTTCTGAGCAGTCTGTTACCTTCACTCACACAGATAGTAAACATGTCCCTTCATTCTGGAATATTCCCAAAGGCCCTGAAAACTGCAGTCATCAGGCCCCTGCTAAAAAAGAGCAGTCTCGATGCTACGGTACTTAACAACTATCGTCCCATCTCAAATCTGCCATTTATGGGGAAAGTCCTTGAGAAAGTTGTCTACCTACAGCTTACTAGATTTCTTATAATCAACAACTCATTTGATATGTTTCAGTCCGGCTTTAGACCCCACCACAGCACTGAGACTGCTCTCGTTAAGGTTACAAACGATATCCGGCTGAACACTGACGCAGGCAAAGTCTCAATCTTAATCTTGTTAGATCTAAGTGCTGCCTTTGACACTGTCGACCATGAGATCCTCTTACAGAGATTAGAGGACTGGGTTGGAGTCGCTGGCACCGCCCTAAGTTGGTTTAGGTCTTACCTTGAGGACAGGAAGTACTTTGTGGAGATTGGAAACTGTGTCTCAGATCATATGGCCCTGACCTGTGGAGTACCACAGGGGTCGATCCTGGGACCTCTTCTGTTCAATCTCTACATGCTGCCGTTAGGTCGGTTAATACGCAGAAACGAAGTTTCCTATCATAACTATGCAGACGACACTCAGATCTATGTCTCACTGACTGCAGGAGAACATGGACCAGTGGACTCACTCCTTCACTGTATCCAACAGATCAGTGAGTGGATGCAAAACAACTTCCTTCAGCTAAACGCAGACAAAACTGAAATGATTTGTCTTTGGTCCCCAGAAACAAAGAGAGAGCGTCATCTGTCACCTACAGTCTCTCTCCCTAAAACCTTCAAACAAGGTCAGAAATCTAGGGGTAATACTGGACTCAGACTTAAATTTTAATAGCCACATCAAATCAGTAACATCAGCAGCTTTTTACCATCTAAAAAACATTGCCAGGATCAAAAACATAGTGTCTAAAGCAGACCTGGAGATTCTTATCCATGCATTTGTCTCCAGTAGGTTAGACTACTGCAATGGCCTGCTCACAGGTCTGTCCAAACAGGCTGTAAAACAGCTGCAGTACATTCAAAATGCAGCAGCTCGAGTCCTGACTAGAACCAGGAAGTACGACCACATTAGTCCAGTTCTCAGGTCTCTGCACTGGCTTCCTGTGGCTCAGAGAATAGACTTTAAAACAGCTCTGCTTGTGTTTAAGTCTCTTCATGGCCTCGCACCAAAATATATTAGTGACATGTTAGTCCCATATGAACCAGCCCGGACTCTGAGGAGCACAGGGACTGGACTCCTGTTAGTGCCCAGAGTCAGAACTAAACATGGGGAGGCTGCTTTTCAGATTCATGCTGCTAAAATCTGGAACAGTCTTCCTGAAGATGTGAGACAGGCCTCCTCTCTGACAATGTTTAAAACCAGGTTAAAGACAGTTCTGTTTAACTGTGCATACAACTGAGGGATTTTATATTTTTATCTTTCTTTTTAATGTTCTGTGATTATTTATGATTTTAATGCTTTCTTGTTTTGTTCAGCACTTTGAATTGCCTTGTGTATGAATTGTGCTATATAAATAAACTTGCCTTGCCTTGCCTTGCCTTACTCTTGACAGAAAACAAAAAACCTTTAACAGACAGGTTTTTTTCATTGTCCAGAGGGCCAAGGGTTTCCTCCTTTCTCCTGCATTTCAAACTATATCTGGGTACTTTTCTCTGGAGATATGTACGAGTCAGGTCTGTGAGAAAGGCATGTGTGCTGGTGGTGAGACAAGAGTGTGTTTACCATCAAAGTCTGCCAGCTGCCGCTCCTCCTGCAGCTGCTCATCTGTCACTCTCAGACCCATCTTAAACTTCAGGTTGGTCTCCCTGAAATTATTACACTACATTGTAACAAACAAGTAAAAAATAATTTCTTCCTGCGATTAAGTCATTGCAGCTTTGTTTGAGTAAATTAAAAAAAACACTTTATTTCAGTTTCCAAAGTTTTAGAACAAATATCTGGGACGTAGTAGCTGTCTTTGAGCAGTAATTACAAATTATATCCACCAGATGGTGCATGATACACAGATGCAAATGCATCCTAGACAGATCATTTATTGAATCATTTATACAAAACTGATGGAGCCAACCATTCTGTCTCTAATAAATATTTATTCCCCAGGCATTTGTGTCACGTACAAAAGTAAGCAGCATAGAGAATTTAATGAGCTAAGAAACATTTACAACAACACTTGTGTTGTTCACGAGCTCACAGGTTTTCCATATTGAGTGCAGAACATTTTTAAACTAGCATAAAGGGTCCCTGAGATTTTCAATTGAAGCCAAATTCCCAAAGAAAGTTATTGGATTTATTGCTTTTTGTCTGTTGCTGAAGCTTTTTGCTATGCAGAAATGTTTTGCCATAACTTGGATTCTGGCCATTGGATTCTGAGCAGACAGATGTGGATCCAATATGATGGATAATCATACTTGTATCTTCGATCATCACCTCTGTCCTTGCGAACAAGTGTGTTTTACATTTGCTTTCGGAGTTTCCACCTGCTAAAATGCACTATCGTTATTATGTCCATAAATGCAAATCCACCTTAAGTGACTGCATAATTTGTATTCAAATAAAGGATTCATTTTTCTGGCCTTTTGTAATATATAATGTGTGGTGTAGCGGTCCATAAGCAGCAGTAATGTGAGCTTTGTAATCTTAATCATATTTGCCCAGTGAGAGCCAACACGGTTACTCGTGTGCCTGTGGTGAAGACTTACCCGTCCAGTTCTGCTGTTTCCACATAACAAAGACTGTTTGGATTGGAGGACGACAGCAGCATGATGTCGGCCTGTGGGACACATGCAAAAATCATACTTTCTCAAGCAAGCATCTATACCTACTTACGTATATTGGAGTATAATTTTACATTTTATATTTTATTATAACTTAGTCAAACGTAATAGAAAATGTCGACTGTACAGTCTGTGTAATATTAATGGCCAGGGATATTGTCAGTCTGTAAAATGGTGACCGACTGACTCTTTATAAACCCAGTCTGTAATACTAGATACATGTCTGATTTATATTTCAAGTGGATTTAATTTGACAAACAAACAATGCTTTAGCCCTTTAGATGTGAGCAGGTTTCTTTAACAAATAACTAACGCCTCTTCTGTAACAGTGCATGTTGTCTGGTAAGCACTTACTGGGATAAAGTCATTTTTTTTGAGTCGAACCACATCTCCTACTTGCACGTCCCTCCACTTTGATGTCTGAAATCTGAAATGCAACATTTCACATGGTAAAATATGGCAAATAGAGCTGGAAAGGGTGGATGAACAAGTTGTTCACATCAAATGGAGCAGCAGAAAAGAGGTGTGACTGATCTAACCTGCCGTCGAGCAGTACATCCGTCTTCCTGTTGTTGATCTCTTTGTCCATCTTGTGTCTGGCCTGTCACAAATATAGACATACAATCACAAATACTTTTACAGTGGTCTCATCAGAATCAGAAATACTGCCATCCTAACGTAATTTTAAAAATTAAAAATTTGACATTTATGTTGTAAAAACAAAAAACACAATCTCATGGGTTAAAGTTGAAAAAATTCCTGAGCCTGAACCATCTATATGAATCATAGAATGATCACTAATAAGCGTTTTTTATAAGCGCCTTTATACGCTCATACATATAATTTATATCTATTTAATGCCAACAACTGATGTTTATTATAAACATCAGTTGTTGGCAATAAATACATCATCCAGGGGTTAAAGCAAAAAAAAAAGATTTGACTGAAAATTCTCTCATGGAAATATAATGAATTACAGATCAAACGAATTCTTCAAAGATATACATTTAAACTGGTGTATTTTGATGTGAAATTACAACCAGTGGATCAAGCAACTTGTCAACTCTTTGACAAAATATTAGTGAGAGTAGTTCATCTGCATCATTGGCTTTACTTGAGGCGAGATGAGGCGTTGTCCTTTGGCTCTGTCCTCGTCAAAATATCGCAAAAGGACATTCAAAATTCTGTCCACATTTGTTTGTGGACACTCAATGTTTAAGAAAAAGGTTTCCCTATCAACTTGGTGCTAGTGCACAGCGCAGTTTTATCAACTGCAAATGATTAATGATAATTAAATCTACCAGCGGTAGTGATGGTTCTGAACGACAGGTTATTTTCTGCGATAAAGCCACAGATAGTTTTAGGTCACAGACACAGTCCACCAGAGCAAGCCTAGTCTCAGTTGTCGCTGAATCTGATGCACCAGGTAAAGAAGTGTGGGAAAGTGCACGGACAGCTGCCAAGTGCGCAGTTTTGAGCTGGTGGTGAATCCAAAGCTGTTTTCTCATTACTCCCATATAAAAAAATAATAATAGCGAAGTACGAACAAGCACCGGACACCTTTATCTTTTTGCACCATGAAGCAACAGAATCCCATCGTCTCCACCTCATCCAGCCATGCCCACCTCCATTTATTTTTCACTCCGTTATCAACAGCAACTTATACAGCTCCTTCTTCCATAAACAACGATCCATGATTGTGATTGTGCGTGCATGCTAGGCTAGCTTTGATGAATGAATATAAGACCTGCTAACACACACCTTTCTTCAGCGAGTTTCTTCCGTTCGCTCTCGTTGATTGGCTCTTTTTATCACGCAGTTTTGCATGCGGATCGCCACCAAGATATTATCAAAAGCTCACCAAGACATGCTTGTCCCCATTCCCAGTCACAGCAAAGTACATATTGTACATTCCGTTAAATAAAAAAGCATTGCGTTTGGTAAACGTTAATTATGTCCTACCTTTCCTCTGATAACGCGCCTAGCTTACCGGTCCGCGGGCTGCTGGCTGTTATTGCTCCGTTCGGGATTACATTTTCCTTGTCCTCTTCTCCTTTTCAAAAGCTCCGTGCACTTTTCAGAAACTATCACCTCCGTGTTACCATCGCTAACTTGGCTACGTCCCATTGCCTTGAATCATTTACGGAGCGCTCATGTAGCTAGCCACGGCACGTTCAAGGCCCACTCGTGATTATATTACTTTTTATTTCTATATACATATAAATACAATTATATTCAAATTATTAATATATATCTAGATATATACAACAGATTCACACGTATTACTATATATTTTGTTATAATTAACCATTTCATTGTGTGTATTATATTATTATTATATATTTTGTTTCTTTTTCAGACCAATTTCATTTGACGGAAATCCGTCACTTAGACGGAACTCTTTAATCCCTGCGCTATACACATGCAATCCTTTCATACAATTGGTAGAACACACTTGAACCTTTTTTCAAATGACAGCAATCATTATTTATTTATATATATATTAAAAAAAAAAAAAAAAAAAAAAGTGGTTTTTTTTTTTTTTTTCCTCACGCCGGATTTCCGGCACGGTGCCGGAAAACTTTAAGCCCTGCAATCTACAATAATGGCTTCACCATAGTGTGGCCGACATGACATGAATGAAAACAATAACACTGACATGTACAGGGGACAACAACGCAGATTGTACAACTGTTTAGACTTGATTTAGTCCGTTCTGAGCTCTAAAAACATGTACGACGTATGCCTATTATGTGGGAAAGGAGGTTTTCAAAAAGGAAAAACTAATGTAAACAGTCTTTTTCAACTGTAAAAAAAAATAAAAAATAATCGCATTCCCTCCTCCTTAGTGCCAGCACTACCACAGCCCTTGATAAATCAGAAAACTCATGGCTAGCAGCTCCAGCTGCCAAGCAAGTATAACAGCCATGGTAAGACTGGCAGACATGTCAAAAGCATTAGATCAAGTAGATCACAGCTGCTTAATGCAAATTTGGGTTGAACTGGATCTATGCCCTCAATTATTGACCTGACTTCAGAACCATCTCACAGGTAGAATACAGAGGGTTGTGACACAAATGGACAGACATCAGGACTTTCACAGGGTGCGGTCAATGCATCTGTTCTCCTATACATGTTTTATTGTGAAAAGGTTTTCAAGGATACGTTGGACATTGCTATGCAGATGACATAAGGCTGTCTCAGGCCTAGTCACTAGTTACAGAGCTATGGAGTGGGAAGTCCAATAGTTGGATAATGGGCAACAGAAAACGACATGCAACTTAATTTAAAGCACCAAAATCGATTTTCCAAAAATGCTACCCAGCTGGATCCCATGGTACTAGGTGCTACCAGAGAAGAGGTCATCACCATAAAGTACTTGGGCTTAATCAGAGGCAACACGTGATGGTGTGACGTGTCACTACAAAGTAGCCGCCGCGTTGCGGTCTCTGGACCACATCACCATCTGTGAGACTCCAGTAACAACAGCTGATTACGTCACACCAAGAAGTGTCTCCTCTGATGAAGACAGAAGTCTACTGCCAAAACATGTCAGGTAATGCAGTACTAGCTTCTTTACACCGTTGCCTTATTAAAAAACCCTCTAAGCCTTAAGCCCACCATGGCCAAAGGGAAAAGAAATTTAAAAGGCATGTCTTACCAGGTCATCCATCAAGTCTTTGATTGCGGTAACGCTCAGCACGACCACCAGAGGGATAAGAGTGGTGTACCAAGGCAATGTGGTTATGTCTGGAATGATCTGGAGAGCACACAACAGCCTGTTCATATATGCTCACCTATGATTACCTAGTTTATCTTCTTCCATAAGTGGCAGAATTGAAGTTGCCCAGTCCCAGTTCATGTTGAAAGATCCAAATAGAAAGACCTACTATGTATTTTTGATGCCATCTGAATAAACTTTTCTTACAATTAGGATGCCTCTTGCATGGCCGTGTTTCTGTATTGTATGATGACTGGTTGCGCTGTGGTACACAGTTCAGCTAAATGCTATTGCCAGCGCAGTGTGCTCTGGACTCGTCTTGTTGGGGTCGTCTGGATCCTGGTTTGTTTTTTTGAGGATAGTTGCCATTTTTAAGGCGGGGGAAACATTACCAGAGGTGAGAGAGAAGTTGATTATTTATTTTAAATAAGCGGGCTGAGAGAGGGGAGGCATGATCTGACAAAAAAAGAAGGGAGCCAGTGGAGAATTTAATGTTTGTGAAGAACTTTTGGAGATCTGATTCTGAGAGAGGTGGGAGATGGGGCTGACAGTTCGTACAGAGGGGTCTGGTATGGCAGGAGCCTTGTGGTGAGCTGCTGGTGGATGTTGTCAATTTTGTATTTGAAAAATTTAAGAAGGATATTGCATTTGTCTGTGGTGAAAGGATTAGGTGATATCGTCCGGCAATTAAAGAGTTTGTTGAAGGTGGAAAACAGGGTTTGGGGGTTTGAAGAGCCAGAGGTGATCATTTCAGAGTAGAATGCAGTGCGTGCATTCTAAAGAGTAGATCTGAATAGATGGGTATGATCGTTGAGGGCTTGGAGATGAACAGTGAGCCCGGCAGAACAGGTTAAAGTGACAGATGTGGTTTTGATAGGAGCCAGGGTGTCTAAACAGGTGTTGTTGTAGTACGTTACCAGGTCAGGAGTGTTTGTGGGAGTGGTGAAGTCTGATTTTGATAAGGTTTGGGATAAGTGGGTTGAGAGGGCATTTGGACAGAGGGAATTGAGGTTGCAAAATGAGAAGGTGCGGGTTTGCTTGATGTGGGTGTTGGGGATGTTGATGTGAAATGATTGGGCCAGGTGGTCTGATATTGTTGTATGAGATAGTGAGTAAATGTGGAGGCCAGTGGAGCAGATAAAGTCCAAAATGTGTCCGCGGCTGTTGGTGGGAAAGTCAACGTGTTGTGTGAAATTGAAATTTTGCAAGATGTCCAGGACATCGGCGGGTGCTGTGTTGTGTGCAGGGTCAATGTGTATGTTGAGAAGTAAAATGGAAGACAAGACTGTACAAAAGAGTGTGATACAATCCAATAGTTCTGAAAGAAAATATGGATTTGGTTTGGAAAAATATACCACATATTATTGAAACACCCAGAGGGGATTATTTATCTATTTATTTGAAACAGGACAGTGCACATTAATCAAAATTTTACAATGTAAATGTGCCCAAGTCAGCAAAATTAAGATAATTTTCATCGGTAGTCCAGTGGGCAGATATAAAGGCAAGCATAAAAATAAAAACAAATGAAGGAACGGCTGGAATGGGGGGGACAGAGTTTGAGGGATTGCTGGTGGATTAACCCCTCCACGGCCACTAATTGATCAATGTATGAAAATTTGTGGAGCTCGCTTGGTTAAGTGTGAAATAGTCCAGTAAATAAGTAAGTCCAGTTGTGTGTCCGTGATTAATTAATTTAGTATGTGGCTTTTGTTATTTAAAGATCTTGTTCTAAGAGTGCAAGTTTGACATTACCTGTAGAATGAGCAGAGCCAGGAAGTAGAGGTTGGCAGATCTTCTGAACTGCTCGGCCAGGTTCAGAGGTAGAAACGTCAGCACGTTGTACTTGTATGTTTTAATTGCATTACCCTGACAAAAAAAAGACAAAAAAATGTTTTTTGGTGAAGATAAGGAGCTTGCGTCACGTTAATATACTACTCAGAGGAAACTTCTACGGAATAGTGTAACAGAAACACTACTGTATAGCACTGGTATTAAGCATATAAATGAATTGCCGATCCTATTTAAACACTGTAATGGGTGAAAGCTGTTCTTACAGAGTATCTGCTCTTCTTGATGCAGAGAAAAACTTTCTTCTCAAACTCAGGGAGCTGGTGATACGCTCTGTCATTGGCCTTCACTTTCCAGCCCATCTCTGAGAGAAAACACATTAAAAGACACCATCATGAATCTACAAATTTAAAACTAAGATTCATCTACACTACACTCTATATGCTTCAAATGTCTACTTGACTGTGAGTTGTATACACTTTATTAACACATTTCACAGGTTTGCATTATCTACACCAAGGGTGCTCACACTTTTTCAGCATGCGAGCTACTTATAAAAGGATCAAGTCAAAATGATCTACCTACTACAAAAATGCAAAAAATATATTTATTTCTAATTATGTTGAGGATTCTTTATATCTACAATGTATGTACATGCAAAACCGCATGATTTATGAAATAATTAGCATCCACACATAACCGAACATCTGCCTTTTCAATAACATTCATAACATTCCAAACATGTGCGTCCTCTGACGTCCTGTCATGCGTTGGGGAAAAACACAGAAGTGGGCGGAGCTTTGATGCAGACGCCGGTACTTCTGTAGCAGCACTTACAGTCATAGTAGAAACTCAGGGTGAAGACATATTGTTATAGATCAATGGTGAAGACATATGTTTACAAGCACTGACCCCCGTCCTCAGCCCTTGTTTAGTCCTGGTTTAGCTCCTGTTTTGGTTGTTTTCAAAATTTCGAGCGTGCCTGATCAAGCCTGATCACTTTGCTGCTCTCTGATGTGGAGGATGTTTGCTGCTGAGAACCACTTGCAGCAGCAAACAGTTTTTAAGGCAGTATGATCCATGCTTCAGTGATCAGAGGTCTGTTTTGTTTGTTGTCGTTTTGGGAGCATACTGTGACGTGCGAAAACGCATAACTCCGGTTATCTCTGTCTACACGCAAATGCATGAACGGATATTTTTTTTTTATGTAATGAGATCTAACAATACTACCTTAGCGATCGACTGGAAGATCGCGATCGACGTATTGAGCACCCCTGATCTACACAATACAGCACTTCTGAGTTGGAGTTTTTATGGAGACTCACAATGAAGTGTGACACATATTTTCAATAGGTAGTCTGTCTTTGATGTATGGGTGACTTGTCCTCAGCCACAGATGTAGATCAAACAGTGGATTGGTCAGAATCTGCTGCTACAATGAACATTTTATTAATTCTATTAGAATCTGTAATGTTTGTTACTGTACACAATGCGTGTTCCTAAGTGGCTAATCTACCTGTCAATCAGGTTGGTTAACATATTTTGGAGGCATTTAGAAACAAGGTAATCCCGTTTAAGACCTGGTTTAAGCCTGAATTAAAACGAAAAGTCCTAGTTTAAATATAGTGCTTTAGAGGAAAAGGTCATACGTAGTACTAGATGTGGCCCCAATATAATGAGTATACTTTTGATTATCATAATTTTGGACACAGGGTTCCAACTATGTGCCATATGTTATATCAGGTTTGAAGACTTAATTTTCTTCCTCTCTGTACTTCTCTAAATTCCCTAGAATTGGAGATAAGGGATTGTTTGTATGAATGGGCAATATCGCCAGAAATAATATAATAATAATAATAATAATAATAATAATAGCAATGCACTGGTGATATAAAGTGCTTTTTGGACACTCAAAGACGCCTCACGTGTCATTATTAATTCACTCCATACAGGGTGGTGATAAACAACTGCCCTGGGGCACAGTGACAGAAGCGAGGCAGCATCAGTCGGTGGAGAAAATCTTGTGGTGGGCTCGAACCCACAACCTTCAGGCTCAAAGGCCAATACCCTGAGCCACTGTCGCCTGATATGAGCAGGATATATCACAACAACTAACCAAAAAAGGAATCCCGCTTATCACTGTCAACAATATTTTGGTTCTATCTCTAGTTTTCACATCACTCAGAAAAGTGAAAAAGAGTGGACCACCCTCACTCGGGTAATCAGCTCTCCGTAAAAGATAACATGTTTTCTAATAAGAAATACACAATGTTGTTCACTCACTTCATAAATACAATTGTATAACTAAGAGACAAACAAAAAAGTTCCATCTGCGGACGGGCCTCGCACTAGGCTTGTGATTGACTTGCTGTAAAACCCTCTGCATCAGTGCACATGCACATGAATACTCACTTTACATAGTGCTATTATTATTCTTGTTTATTCTGGACATTCTCGGCTGCTGACGTACAATATAAACAGAAGTATATTATATATAGATTATATAGATATTATGTATATTATATTAGAATATTATTCCATTTTATTATCTACTAATTAAAATTTTATACATTTTTAATGTTATCTATTTTCTCATATAATCGATCCAGATTTATGTGTGCAATCCGAGTGCTCTTATTTTCTTTTATTCTGATGTAACGTGCACAGGTGTTGTACCACTGGGCCTGGCCTCCACAGGTGACTGCTCTGCTTCTGGAGGCTCCTGTAGTGCCTCGTCTGACCCGGGTTCCACCTCATCGTCCGTCTCGTCGTCGCTGTATGGCATGACCTCATCGTCAGGCCCCCGGGAGCCCTGGGAGTCCTGGGAGTCTGCACGGGGACGGCTCATGTTCAGGAGGAATCTGAAAGCACAGGGGCACCATTCATTCATGTCACACCATCTCCTGCATGAGCAACAGTATGCCAAGGTGAGCAGGTTTAGAGGTGACCGAGGATGCAAAATAAGGCGTAACAGTGTTTAACAATAATTCCATCCTTTTCTCTGTAAATGACACAAACATGGATGAATCAAATAGTGGGGTGCAAATATTTGGGCACACCAGATGCACATTTCTATCAATATGAACTGTGAAGCAAGGTAAAAATTTTATTATACCTAAAAACTGTTAGAAATAAATCACGTGTGGTGACATTTAAAATTTAATTTCTTGTTATCTTTAGAAAATTCTGCACCATTTCAGTGGCAGAGAAGACCATAAATGTATAGACATTTATAAGGGGTGCTCGATTGTGAACAGGACTTGCCGTTAAACATGCTATTCTCCCTCAGCGCTGTCATATTCAGTAAACAAGTTAATAGTTATTAATTACTTTTCTCCAAAAGTAATTGCAAATTTGTAACTGTATTTGCAACCAGTACCAAAGTAAAAAAAAATCTTGTAGACTCAAATAAACAATTGCGCGTTTTATACATTTTAATCTGTAAACCACTGTACAGTTACAGCAACAAACAACTCACACACACACACACGTGTAATTCTGAGGATAGCGGAACGCCGCGTCCAGAGACTAAATCTGTTGGTGGTGTGGTCTGCTGGAGCAGCAGCCTCACAGAGAGGGACAGGAAGAAGCTGAACAAGGTCATCAGGAAGTCCAGCTCTGTCCTGGGCTGTTCCCTGGACACAGTGCAGCAGGTGAGGGACAGGAGGGTCCTGGACAAACTATGCTGGACCATGACTGTCACCCCCTCACGGACTCAGTGTGTGTGTAAGAGCGATCTTTCCTTCTTGCTGCTGTCACACTGTACAATAAGAACTGCTGAGCCTGTAAAAGTCATTTAATCAGTAAATAGCAAAATACTGTAATCATGTGCAATACTACACTTTCAGAAACTGCACCCAATGTCACTTTATCTACTTTTGTACATATCAGGCAGGATAATAATTTACACTAATGTATCAATAGGTATTTACTTGCTGCTTTTATGAAGCATTTAGAGCTAGTTAAGAAGCATTGCAACTGTATTGTGTGCTTTTACTTGTGTCCTATATGTGCACTGCTGCAACATCGTAATTTCCCGACTGTGGGACAAATAAAAGGTTTTCTTGTTTTCATGACTGCGTTTGTCAACTCTATCCCACTGTTATCCTCTACCTTTGTTTCCATTATTACACTGTTACTAAAGAGTGATTTAATCCCAAATGACCAGTTTCTAGAGGTAGGAGGTCACAGCTTTCGCCAATGAACGCAGAGGTACATTCTCTGGCTACTGCTTCTGATTAGTCATCTGTTTTGTCAATCAGTTTGTTTAACCAAGAAGCTCAAACAAAACTCAAAAGTAAAGAGCCATGGTACACTGGTCTCTGAGGTAACTCCATTATTCCATACTCCATACTTTCAAAGAAACGGATATGATAACATGTTACTGATCAAAATACTCCAAACGCTGGTTCTCAAATCCTATTTGTCTTGGCCTTTCCCAACCTTGCCTTACTAGCCACAGTCAAATGACACTCTGTTCTGAAAGTTGTGAAAATCATCACACTCATAATGATTTGTAGAAGGTGAGAGAACAGTGCATCCATCTACCAAAGTCACATGCCATGACTCGGCAGCCTTTGCTCCGCTCGACAAAGCGAAGCAGCAGCCTGACCTTTTAATGAGAGCTTGTAGATAAATGGAATGTGACGTTCCTGAGTTGTGTTGTTTGAGCGTGCCACACCGTACACAAACACACTGCACTGGTCCCAGCTTATTGTATCCCTCTGTCTGCTCAGTCACCGTCCAAGCACCACACCCAGTCATGACTGAATATATTTTTAGAACACACACAGGCAGAAAATGTATATTCTCTCATTATTACTAGGAAAAGTAACTTCTTCACAAACTTACGATACTTTCTGAATGTTTTGAAGCTGCCTGAGAATATTAACTATGCAAAGATTGCATAATAGATTTGTTGTTTGGGTCAGATAAACTACAAATCACAGCACAACTGTGCTCATTTTGTTCAGTAAAAAAAAAAAAAAAAAAAAAAAGTAAATGGTATGTGGCCCATTCCTCCATGCAGAACTCTTCTAGGGAGTTGAGATCTGGAGACTGGCTAGGCCACTCCAGGACCTTGAAATGCTTCTTATGAAGCCCCTCCTTTATTTCCCGAGCTATGTGTTTGGGATCATTGTCATTGAAAAGACCCGGCCAAGTTTCATCTTCAATGCCCTTGCTGATGGTAGGAGGTTTTCATTCAAAATCTCACAATACATGACCCCATTCATCTTTCATTTACACGAATCAGTCATCCTGGTCCATGTGCAGAAAAACAGACCCAAAGCATGTTTCCTCCCCTATGCTTCACAGTGGGTATGGTGCAACTCAGCATTCTTACTCCTCAAAACATGACGAGGTTTTTCCAAAAAAGGTTCCATTTTGGTTTTATCTGACCATATGATATTCTCCCAATCCTCTTCTGGATCCTCCAAATGCTCTCTAGCAAACTTCAGACGGGCCTGGAGATGTACTGGCTTAAAGTGATAGTCTGGAACTCTAAATGGATTAAAAATATTAAGAATTGTATTAAATTTACCTCCTGGCCTTAAATGTTGATAAGTCATTATGAATTCTAATGTTACGTTTAAGTCCTGCCTGCTTCTCTTAGCTATAGCTCAAAATCCACGATGCCGTCCAGTTTAACCCATTGAGGCCGGGAACGCATTTCCGCGTTTCTCCCTTTCAAGCTGGGAGCGCTATTTTGCTTACTTTAGAAAGAGCCTTGTGAGTCATTATTTGACTTTTTGGGCTGAGAGTGGATATTTTATCTACTGATAAAAATAACAGTAGATTTTTGTTTAGCACCGTCGTTAAACTCACAAACTGCCTAAAATTCCAAGCTCACTGAGCAGTGTCTGCTTTCTCCACTTCTTTAATAATAAAATTACATCCATCCGTGACAAACTGGAGGAGGTTACTCCTGCTGTTGGTAGTGGACAGGCTGAAGCGGCATACTTGACTTCCCACTTAGACTCTTCAGTGGGCCTCGCTAAATTCATGGCTGTGAGCCAAGCAGAGGTGACTTCTGTGGTCACATCCTCAAAAGCCTCAACTTGCATCTTAGACGCAGTCCCGACATGGTTCTTCAAAGACATACTTCCTTTGATAATTGAGCCTATCGTAAATATAATAAACGCATCCATACAATGTGGCTATGTCCCACAAACCCCTTCTGAAGAAAACAAACCTGGACCCACAAATACTTACAAACTACAGACCGATCTCAAACCTCACTTTCATATCTAAAATTCTGGAAAAACTTATGGCTGAGCAGCTTTGCTGCCACCTGCAGGAAAATAATATGTTCGAAGTCTTTCAATCAGGATTCAGAGCTCATCATAGCACTGAAACGGCACTAATCAAAGTCACAAATGACTTACTACTAGCTGCTGATAATGGACAAGTGTCAGTGCTGGTCCTACTGGACCTTAGTGCTGCATTTGACACAATAGACCACAGCATTCTACTGCAGAGGCTAGAATGTGATATAGGTCTTAGAGGAACAGCCCTTGGCTGGTTTAAATCCTATTTATCAGATCGGTATCACTTCGTCAACGTAAATCAGAACTCGTCGCCTTATTCTGGAGTAGAATTCGGTGTGCCGCAGGGTTCGGTACGCAGACCGATTCTTTTCACTCTCTACATGCTGCCGTTAGGAAACATTAAAAAGCATGGAATTAATTTCCACTGCTATGCAGATGACACACAGCTTTATCTGTCGATGAAGCCAAATCAGAGAGATCAGCTAGAAAAGCTTAGTTTTGATTGATATGTATTTGTTTATTGAGCGTGGCTAGCTCCGCTAGCTTCTCTACACAGACAAGTGTGCAGAAAAACTGCACAATGTAGTGACAGGCGCTGATAGCTTGTTGTACTTGCAAAGTAATGGCAGTATTTTACACACCTGAATTACAAACAGAGATTGCATTGGGGCTGCGGTCATTATTGGTTTGAGAGTTCTGTTATCAAGAAAAAATGATCGGAAGAATTGCATTCAAGTCAATGGAGTGCTGCTGCTGTGAGGAGCTTTATAATACATTATAATTAAATATTAGAATATATTCTAATGTTTAAATTAATACATCCGGACGCGAAACGTATTCTTTTACTTATAGATTGTGTTAGCAGTGCATTGCTTTAGTGCCATTTCATCAGTGATTGTTGCACAGCTTACAAGTTGCGCTAATGCTAATGTTAGCATACGTATCAGATCGCAAATAAAACTAGGTGGCTCCGTGTTATGAGAGCGTAGGGGAAATGAGAAGCCTGTGAGCGAGCTGGGGGGCGGTGCTAAACATTCAAACATTGTAGAAACGGGTATAGCGCCTTTAAGTCCTCCAAGATGACTTCTGTTGTGACCTAGGGCTATACAAGAATAAATTGTATTGTATTGTATTGTGTGTATTGTATTTATATATTTTTTGACATAGTTAGTGCCACTTAATTGTCAAACTCTTTTTGACTTATTGCATTGATAAACATGTGTTAGTCTCACATTGTTTTTGGTTGTTTTATTACCTTTCCTGTGTGGAAGTTGTATATTCTTCTACTGAAGTTTTATAATAATACACTACATTCTTATTGAAAGCCACAAGTGTCAGCTCTCAAATTCTTTTGAAATTATGTTTCTATCTGCTAGAGGCTGAGATACCAATCATTTAGTAGACGTTGAATTTCAAGAAAACTTCAGGTTTTGGAGGGTGGTTCTGAAGTCGGCCTCAGGTTTTGCAGGTCTGTTTTACCAGGCGATGCAGGCCTTAATGGGTTAACCAATCAAGTGATACCAAGGGCTGTCAATCATCGGCGCTGATGCTCGTAGCTGCGCGCATGCTCAGTTGTCGTTTTTGTGGAGCCTCCAAATCAAGCCTCCATTAGGCTCTGAAACTTCATGAAAACGGAACTAAGAATTCTGAACATCAGCGCTGAGTTACCCATTTATATACTGAACCTATATCCCTAATCAGATCCGCTGCAGATGTGTCCTATAATAGCTACTCCTGGGTTTACCGCGGGTTTTGAGCATTAAAACATTTTTGTCATGAAAATGTTAACAAATAATTCTCAAAACCTCCGTGCATGTGTATTAATAATGTACATGTATAATGTGTTCTCCGATTAACATTTGAATGTGTAGATTGATTGTTACGGAAACGTAGGCATAGACCAATCAAAAAGGAAGGGGGAGGGAGTTTGGGTCGTTTTTTTTCAAATCATGTAGCTCTCTCTTTTTTCTGACAAACTCCAGACAAACTCCAGACAATCACTTTAAAGAGCGACTAAACACCTGTGCCCAGCCTTACTCCGCCCACATGAAGATTTGAAAATTTTCTCTAAAAAGGGCGTTGCCTGGAGGACCAAGGGACAAGAAGGGGGGCTTAGATTTGGGCGTGGTCTGGGCTGTGATTGACAGCTCACTTGTCACACAAAAAAAAACAGACAGTTGTCATTGCTGCTTAAAGCAATAGTTTACAGACCAGAAAGTCTCATTCCACCCTTGTTTACACACTAAGATAATTGTAAAGCTACACACCTGAACCTAATCACACTCAATAATCTCAGAATGACTCATGTAATTTAATTTTAATCCACTAGATGGCGCCAGAATACTCCAAACTGCAGCTGGGGCGTGTGTGAGAGTTGAATGGGTTTATATCACTGGCTCTGACAGACTGACGTCACACAAAACAACTGATGTCATAGAGGACTTCAGAGTCAATGGAGAGGCCAGAACCAAATTCAAATGTAGTACCACCAAAAAGGTAGAGAGGGCACCACACAGCGTTTTTTGGCTCAAAAGTGATATTTTATCTAATTTGAACTAAAATGTCAAAAAAATGACCAGGATATGTAGATAGCACTACAATAAACATACTTATGCAGTTTATGAGTTAAAAAAAGTTGATTTGGTGTTTAGTCGCTCTTTAAGCAGGAGGACATGTATTAAGCCAGTCCCTCAGCACACCCAAAGACGCTTCACATGTCATTATTCGTTCACTCCATACACGGTGGTGATAAACTACTACTGTAGCCACAGCTGCCCTGGGTCACACTGACAGAGGCGAGGGAACCAGTCTGTGTCATCAGGCCCTCCGACCACCACCAACCATTACTTTGGTCCCAGCTCTCTGCAGGTCCTTACCTAGGTCCCCTGTGTAGTTCTGTATTTTGGCGCACCGTTCTTGTGATCATTTTGACCCCAGTGGGTGAGATCTTGCTTGGAGCCCCAGATCGAGGGAGATTATCAGTGGTCTTGTATGTCTTCCATTTTCTAATAATTGCTCCCACAGTTGATTTCTTCACACCAAGCTGCTTACCTATTGCAGATTCAGTCATCCCAGCCTGGTGCAGGTCTACAATTTTGTTTCTGGTGTCCTTTGACAGCTCTATGGTCTTGGCCACAGTGGAGTTTGGAGTGTGATTTCTTGGAATGTGATTTTCTAGATAGATGTACAGTATAATAGATGCATAAAATATATTGCATTTTGAAAGCTGCGGCTCATGGTAAGTTGCGGCTCAGTTTTTTTTGGGGGGGGTTTTCAGTGGCAGTAAACAACCAGAATTGTAGTAGTAGTACACAGAGGTCCAATTAAATTGTACGATTAAATACAGTTTAAAAGTCCTCACTTATAATATCTTTGTGTAAATATCTCCATATAATAAATAGTTTTTTGGTTCATTGTAAAAACACGAAACACATTTTTTCTGCTTTGCGCTGAAGAATCAGGAGAGTCTGTGACTCAATTCTTACTCTTATTACTCACAGTTAAAAGAAGACACGTGTATGTTTTGGAGACATTTTTTAATAAAAATGTGGGATAGATGTGGCTACAACTGCAAAATTCAAATGCTTTCTAAAAATTAGGGCCTGCGGCTTATAATCGGGTCCGGTTTATAGTCCGGAAAATAAGAGAAATCTGAGTGATTGAAATCTAAGCCAATTATCAATGTCTTGATGGACATTAAAATTGGCAGATTTATTGGCAAACCGATAATTGATTGGCCCCATTAATAGTTCCATATCAACAGAGCATCTGGAATGTGATATGTAATTTGAATAGTTTGAACCAGAGCCGGTCATATCCAGAAACCCTGTTGCCCTGAGCCTCATTGAGAACAAAATTGGTCCTTTACCCTGCTCAGATTTTCACACCTCTCCCTCACTGAAAACTGATTTGGTTTCTATGCAAGATTCCTGTCTTGATTGCATTATGAAATACAATAGGTATTCCTTCATTTTTTGGAATACTGTATTGCAAAAATAAAAACAAAAAACTGTTACTGAAAAACTATGAATTAAAATATTCTGATATGTATTCCAGTATAAGTATTCCGTTACTCCCCAACAGTATATAGCCTACTTTTTATATCGCAACATTGTTCTATAAGACATAAACAATAATTCACACTTTGTCTGAGCAATAACACCTCTTGTGTGTTCAAGATTACTCATAATCCTGAAAATTATTGGATTATCAATTGAAGATTAAATCTTTTAAATTAGTTGTGATTGATGGATGAACTTGTCAGCCCAAGCTGATAAACTGACCTACTCCCACTAAACTATTTGGGCTTACTGCTCACCGGTTTCTCAAGTGGAAGTCCTGAGCCGCCTTCTCATCTGAAAACAGGTTATGTGGGTTCAACAGGAGGTGTGGCTGCTCTGGAACATGAAACCGTCTCGTCTCTGTGAACAAAAGTCAGCACAGCTCAAAGTTCCCTTCTCAAGCATTGCCACGGAAAAAACAACCCAGTTCAGGCACAAATTATGACAATACAGGTGTAAATCAATTTTAAAAAACAAACACATTCGGTTTTATATGTGTTTTTAGCTAATTGTAAAAAAAAGCCTAGCTTCCGTGTGTGCTTTGTTGCTATGGAAAGATATGTAGAGCTTTAACCATGTGTCAACGTTGACACATGACATTTAGATCTACATGTAAATAAGAACCTTGATTTCAACTCCATAATACTAAACAACTATAAAAAAAAATACTATAAAACTATAGCACTGTAAAAACAATTTATTTTGTAAAATCTCAACTAAATGCCAAATCGGCCCGTTTAGATGATGTGGTTCGATGTAGTTCAGCGCCTGGCCAGTAGTGGGCATAGAAACACGAAACAATACGAGTTATAAAAATATGTAGAGCCATAAAATACATTCTGTCAGATACTGCCAAAAAAAACTGTCGGAATACATTTAAATGAGCACTCATTTGCATAAACTTTCCAAATATTGGGCATGCTCTAGACATGGATCTATAATAATAACTGGATAGGGCAGTGGTTCTCAAACTTTTTACACCAAGTACCCCCTCAGAAAATACTTGCCTCTCCAAGTACCACCACAAATGACCAACACCACACAGTAACGTAATAAACCGAAGTATTCATCAAAAACAAGGCAGAAGTTTCATTCCTTAAGAAGTTTTTGTATATGCTGCTCCTTCTTCATGATACGTGTTGCAAAAAGACTGGAAATGATCTGACTGTATTTCATTGAATGCTTTTAGATCCAGATTGAGAGCACTTGGGACCAGCTTTGTAAACGAACAATAGCTTTTACTGAAGCCATGTACACACACTAAACTCTATAAATAATGACCATATCTAACTGCTACAGATTTTGATTAACATTTGAGAGTCTTTATTTTAAATGAATACAAATGTTTCTTTTTTTAAATGTCTTTTACAGTAAATGGTCTTTACTGTAACATACATAGAAAATGTATGTTACAGCATGTCTCTTTTTATATATTTTTTATGACTAATAAGCCAAAGAGTTCCACCTGTTTTTTTTTTTTAAATATGTCGTCACAAACTGATTATGATATTCCATGATTCCTGTGTATAATGAAATTAGGATTAAAAAGTGCTCAACGCGATCCACCCAACTGGTGTCCCTTATTTTTCTGCTGTCGAGTTAGCAACCCATACCCACTAACCACAGGGTCTTCAGTTCAATCTGCATTTCAAAAGCATGGTGTCTTTTTAATATGGAATAATATTATATGCAAAAAATGTATTAAATACTGAATGAAATACTGGTGATTTTCTTTGTGGAGACTGGACACACCTGATTTTCAAACTCAAAAATTATATACATTAGAAACTAATATATTAATAAGTAACAATCTTGACTATTTTATGCAAGAACCTGCAAGACCTATAGAAATTCACACACCAAATTATACCCTAATATATACCGTTTACCGTCTGGGCCCCAAATTATACCGCAATATGAATGAAATGTTCCCACCTGACCAGCAGTACACAAGACTGGCCATACCAGTGGATGTACAGTATTAAAATAGATCAGCAAATCTCGTTTGCTTGTTGTGCTTCCAAGAGACCACAGTTATTGCTTGAACTGGATATCATTGAAAAAAGAGCAATGAGGAGATAAACAATTTCATAAGAGCATTTTGGATCAATGGAGAATCACACATTTACATTTGAAATAAGTCAAAAACTGTTTTTCTATTATTCAATCCATGCTCCATCCTTGTGAAACTCAACGACGTAATGATGAATGTATGCAGAGCTAATACAAATCCTACGAACAGACATTTGCCTACAGCACAGGCAGACGCAGGCAGACGTGTATGACTGCCACTCCTGCGCTCATTTAAAAGTCAACATTACATCGGAAATGACGCAGTCTCTACCAATACTATTGAAAAGAGCCAACAGTTTCATCACAGACGACATTATTTGCATGATAATATATCTAGGGCTCTTGTTATTGATATTTCAATGACAAGCCAGTGTAGTGGTCCTCTGCCCACTCATACACTCACCGGCCACTTTATTAGGTAAACCTTGCTAGTACCGGGTTGGACCCCCTTTAGCCTTCAAAACTGACTTAATCCTTTGTGGCATAGATTCAACAAGGTACTGGAGACACATTCCTCAGAGTTTGGTCCATATTTGTCGGCTGCACATCCATAATGCGAATCTCCGGTTCCACCACAACCCAAAGTTGCTCTATTGGATTGAGATCTGGTGACTGTGGAGGCTATTACAAAACAGTGAACTTATTGTCACTTAAATCTCCCTTCTTCCCCATTCTGATGCTCGGTTTGAACTGCAGCAGATAGTCTACATGCCTAAATGCATTGAGTCGCTGCCATGTGATTGGTTTGTGCTTTGATTTTCTTTACAAAGTGGTTTCACTTCAAAATTTTACACAGAAAAGGTTTAATGAAAATCATGTATTGAGTAATCAAAAGGAATAACTGCTAGATTAATTTATTATTAAACCAGTCGTTAGTTGCAACAACAAAAATCAAATATTTCTACTCTCCCATTGAGTTTATTTTGAACCTGCCTGAAATTTCTTGGAATTGGTCAGAATATGCTAGCCTTTTTTTCTCTTTGTTCATTTACTAGACTGTTGTTTATAACCAATATAAATTATGTTAATGCCATGCGAGCATCAATATTGTCAATATTATAAATTGTAATGAGTAAAAATGGCATGGGACATGGAAAAGCTGGAGCTGTACATTCCTAGTCACAGATACATCTATATGAAATAAAGTTATTTTAAGCATGATTCGACAGCAATGAGTAAGCTTGTATGCGGAAGGTTTGAAAACATTACTAATATAGCAGGTATGACAGTGAAAACAAACTGTGAGCCAAATAATGGTACTTATCTTGATGAGAATGCCCTAAACACAACTACTCTGATGCCAGTCACAACTAGCAATACCATTCCAGTAAAGTGTTCTCTAAAATATCAACTACTTGATGAGGAAGAAGTCCGTGAGGTGAGTAAGACCAGCCCCATTTGCATCTTTCGTCAATACACAAATTACTTTCTGTGAAGGATGGGGCATTTTCATAAGACTGCACACATTTCCCTACATCTGCTCAAAGCCTGGCTTTATGAAAACACAAACACTGACCCTCACGAAAGCCACATCTTCCAAGATTTCACAAAGCAATCCACCTCCATTAGATGACCTGCCCAATCATTTCAATGGAATGACAACAGATTGTATTGCACAGATTTGGAAAATATTTAGAACATAAGATACAGGGAGACACTTCTGGCTGTAATCACATAAACAAAATTTGACCAAAACAAAGCTTAACGGCTGACATTCTGAATTGGTCCCAATCAGATTTAATTCTGACCTTACTAAGGTTTAAAGTCCCATTCACATAAAATTATAGCAGGTAGCGCTTTTTGGTCAAGACAAATGTAAGACTTCCACATTTATAATGCCATTTTCAAATGTGGATGGGGCTTCGTCAGTTCATTTTTTAGCAATAAAACACAGCCTTGTTAATTCTTTCAAATAAAATCATTCAGGACAAAGAAAGTGGACTTTACAATTAGTCTGAAAGGGATAAAAAGCATTCACATTGAATTGCACTGATCAAATCACCAGGCTTGAAACAGTGGCAGTGAAGAAATGTATTGGCAACATTTTAACTTTATATTCATTGTATCGGTTAGTCGTATGAACCAATGACTCATGAATGTGTTTAATTGTTTGAGTCTCTGATTTCTTGGAAGTGAGCTGACCATTTCTGAAACGTCTCGACTATGCTTTTGTAAATTTGAGCGATACAGAGATATACGGATTTGATTTGAACTGACATCACAACGTTTCATAAATAGAATATGCTCATTTCAATTCAATTATCTTTATTTAAAAAACTTCATAGGAAATAGTTATGGTATGTGTAAGGACTTTTCATTATTAAGAGATCCTTTAAGAAGTCCCACAGTGGGGAAATTTCAGTTACTATTCTATATTATTATTATTTGATCTAATTATTCAACTACATCTTGAGGGGACTAAATATGCTGTAGCTATGTGAATTGGGTGCAGTCCTGAGTGCCACCCCCCCTCGACCCTGAAAGGGATTAAGGTTGAAGAAGATGGATGGAAGGATGAAGGCTAAATATATTAATTACTTAACTATAATAAACTTAATTCCCTTTTTGTTTTTTAAAGCTTTAAAAGGCCTCCAATAGCTCCCATCAAATGGAATATCTTTGTTATTCAAAGACTCAGAAGCTGTCATATATAAAAGTATTAATAACAATATTCCAGATTAGATACAATGAGCCCCACGGACACTAACACGTTGCTTTCCAGATATGGAGGCCATATATGGAAAGGGATTAAGGGTGAAGAAGATGGATGGAAGGATGAGGGCTAAATATATTAATTACTTAACTATAATAAACTTAAAATAGCTCCCATCAAATATGGAGGCAAAATATGGAACGCAAATTCCAAGTACTGGAAATATGCCGCATCAAAACAGTTGAAGAATCAGTTCTGTTTGATATGCACACTGCTCCGGTAAAGCAATGTTGACCAATTGTGTGACTACAGCCCTGTCCTGCTCAGATGGAGGCGGTCACAGGTAGCATCTGTCCAGACCGAAGCTTCCCCAGTGCCAGTCTCTTACCTGCTCCTGCCTAGGCCGCCTGGCTCTGTGCGCGGATCTCTCTGGTCTCCACTGTCTCCGTTGTGCAGTCTCTTTCCGGGTGCTTCCCTTCGAGAGAGTAGCCGTGGTGTAGTCCGCTCTCACGGGCCTGGTCTTCGGTGTCTGTAGCAATGTTATCTCAGTCCTCCATCCGATCCTTGGTCCTTGGTCCCAGTCCTTGGTTCTAACTCCGGTCGTGAGTCCTCTGGTGTGTTTGGTCTCGGGGCCAGTGACTGTACGCGTGCGTGTCTTTTCCTGTTTCTCCTCCCGCCCTGTGTGCGCGTGCTTGTCTCACCTGCCCGTGTCGCTGATTGGTCCAAAACCTGATGCACCGGTTCCACTCATGGTTCCACTGTAGTCAACTCACGGGCGTGCATTTGCGAACCAAGCGTGCGTGTGGTTAAAGTTAATAAAAACAAAAACAAACAAACAAAACAAAAACAAACTTGTATACACAGCACAAATGAATGATCAGAGACTGGCACCAATTCGGATCGTTTGAAATCATTATAATTAAAGCTACAGCAGCACAAACAAAGATTTTGCAGCACTAATATTTAGTTGGAGAAGCAGTTACTGTGAGGACCGACTTCCACTCATTTCAGGTCTCATGTAGCAATGTTGGATGCAAGTAATACATTTTCGTTCACTGATTGACGGACACAAATAATAATTGTTATAAAAGAGTTAGAACATAGCGGTTGTGTGAGGTGAAATTATGTTTGAAGAGGAGTTTCCAAAGAAGGACCTGCTGGTGGTAATCTGAGAGTCACTGGGAGTTTAGTTACATCAAAGGCACACTTAAAAGGAACATCGTTACCACCTAACTTTTAAACATAAAAATGGAGTATTGATTCTGTACACACATTTGCAGCATTTCACCTTCAACATACTATTCATTATTTCAAAGTAGATTGGATTTCCACCTCCATCCTCATCATTTTTGGCAATGAATTGACATTCATTTTTCAAAATAAAATTGAAATCTATACTTTTTAGGTTTTTAATAATTTTGGTGGAGGTAGCTGACGAATATGCGGGATAAATAAACCTATAGACAGTCCATTTTAGTTAATAAATCAGTGAGCGGCAGTTTGGGGGCAAAAATGCCTTGTTGAAACCAGAGGGCACAGGCTCATCAAAATTGGACAATAGAAGATTGAAAAAAGTAGCCTGGTCTGATGAGTCTCAATTTCTGCTGCGACATTCAGATGGTAAGGTCAGAATTTGGAGTCAACAACATGAAAGCATGGATCCATCCTGCCTTGTATCAACGGTTCAGGCTGGTGGTGGGGGTGTAACGGTGGGGATATTTTCTTGCCATGCGACAGCCCACCTGAGTATTGTTGATGGCCATGTCCATCCCTTTATGAGCACAGTGTACCCATCTTCTGATGGCTACTTCCAGCAGGATAAAACACCTCTAAGCTCAAATCATCACAGGCTGGTTTCTTGAACATGACAATAAGTTCACTGCATTGTAATGTCCTGCAGGCACCAGATCTCAATCCAATAGGATGTGGTGGACCGGGGATTCTCATCATGGATGTGCAGCCGACAAATCTGCAGAAACTGCATTTTGCTTTCAAATATGGACCAAACTCCCTGAGGAATGTGTCTCCAGCACCTTATTGAATTTATGCCACGAAGGACAGTTTTGAAGGCAAAAGAGGGTCCAACCCGGTACTAGCAATTATTTTAGCAAGTGGCAGGTGAGTGTAAATCATTATAAAGCATGTCAACTTTGTAATAACTTCTAGCTTGAAATTTTCAAGGGGAGTTTTCCAAGAATGTAAAATTTCCTTATTCTAAAATGTTTATCTTAACAACAGAAAAAAATACTTTAGCAATAAAGAAATAATCCAAATTCTCCACAAGGAATCCACATATTTGGAGAAGAATTCAAGATTAGCTGATTTACAGATTGCACACCTCAAATCCATGTTGAAACTTAACCCTTTCATGCATGAATTGTGATAGTCTTCTTCAAGATTTTTCCCCAAGTGTTTAAATTACTCTTGAGGCATGAAAGGATAGAAAATATTATAATTTTGAAAAAAAAAATCTCCATGGAGTTGGTGACACGTCCACCCGAACGAACAACGTGCATTTGAGTAACGGAAAAAGAATACTGTAAACACCATAGGACATTTTGATTTTATCTTTAGCATTGTATTTTTCTTATTTTAACACATTCCAAAAGTGTAAAATGTGTTGTCTGAAACATTAACCAAAGAAAAACACATTTCAATTCAATTCAATTCAAATAACTTTATCAATCCGTGAGGAACTTCATTTACAGACGGAGCACCGGTGGGGGTATACAAAAACACAAAAAGACACAATCAAGTATAAATACAGTAAAAGAGCAGAAATACAATATAAAATACATAAAACAGGTCTCGGGTCAGCTGTTTAAAAGGCCAATTGAGGTGGGGAGGAAGCTGGATGTGGCCTGTTTGTTTTGAATGGGAGGGACCTGAACCTACGTCCTGGTGGGAGTGCAGAGTGTGGGAGCTGTCTGTGGAGATCTGGGAGCCTTTCCTTTAAACTTTGTAAATGTAAATGTCTGTAAATGAGTCTTGCTGCTGTCCAATGATTTTGCTGCTGATTTTAATGATCTTATTGAGTGAATTCTGATATATGAGACTGAGTGAACCAAACCAAGCTGTAAAGTGAGAATTGATTCAATGAAACATTTGTAGAAAACAGAGAGAATGGATTTGTGAACCTGAAGTTTACAGAGTTTACGGAGAAAGAATATGCGCTGTTGCGATTTGTTGCACTGACTAAATGAGTGACATACTATAACGAACTTGGCTTGTACTAATCTGCATGGAACTACAAAGACTTTCAAATCAGCATAGGCTTGTACATGTTAGATATTTGAGTATGACATGACCAAATGAATCCCTAGAAACTTCTTCAGTTCACCCAGTGCAATGCCCAGTAGTTATTTTCCATTTTGCAATGCATAGAGGTCTGAGTTGACCATTATGTCATCAATCAACTCGTATGTAATTTAATGAATAAAGAAATCTATTGGGGCTCCTCCCTCAATCTTCACCTACAATTCTCCTAAAAAGTAAAGAGTAAACTGTCCCTCAAACTTATAATGTTTGGCTTTGCAGACATGTCTGCTATCTATATTTTTATGTTTTTGAGCTTGGTCAAGTTGGACAGCACCATCTCCCTCAGCCTCATCATTCACCCTAAATTCCTCAGCATCTTCTCCTTGTACATCTTCAACTTCACTGTCACAGCTGTTACCATTTACTAAATGTATTTTGTCTGGTACCATTCTTCATCATTCCCACTAACATCACCCTCATTTTAGTCGGATGGACTAAAATGACTGTCCTGTAGACTTTTCTATTCTGCTCTGGCCCTGACCGCTACAAAACACATGGAAAAGGGTTATTATTCTCATGATATGACTAATATTCACAAGATATAATATATATCAAACAATGTAATTTATTTGCAGCCAAAACTGTGTAGAAAATGAAGTTTTTCCTGGAACAACAAAGTTGCAGCAACACTGCACTGTATTCAAAATATAGCCAGTGATGCACAACGTCTACTTTAGTGACGTTTAGTTTAATATATAATTATATCGGTAAAACCCATAGACTGTAGCCCTAATATTACTGCGATATCTGCCAAATGTTGAGGGAGCAGCATTGCGCATTCAATCGTACAGCCTGCCGGAAAGCATTCACAGAAGAAGAGCTGGAGGCGCGGTTTGGTTTGGGCTTGTGGTTCCGGCAGATGCGCATGCGCATACGCACAGCGGCGTCAGTGCTAGTGCTAACAGCTAAAAGCTAAAAACACGGAGCGTGGAGTCTTGTTTAGGATCCTGAGCCGTACACACTGTCAGGAGGCTCTTCACTGCACCCAGCCGCTGCTCACTGCACCATGGTCGGTGTCAAAGTGATCGGCAACGACCCGGACTTCCAGCCAGAGCTGGCGGCGGCCGGCTCGAGACTGGCCGTGGTGAAGTTCACAATGGCCGGGTAAGTGCTGCTCTGAGGCCCCTGGCCCTGGAACTCAGGACACACTCTTTACACCAGTTCTGTGTGACGGTCCATGGAGACAGACATTAGAATCCACCACGAGACATACCTCTGAATAGAAACTCTTTCATAATCAGTGTTTATTCTGTATTGATATGAGTTTAAAGTTCAATTGCTAATGCTAGCTTCCTGTTCACTGAGGATGACATAGCAATAATGCAATGTATCTAGCCAGTTGACAAGATCTTTCAGCCAATCTAGTTTCATGACAAAGGCGTACATTTCTATTAAAGGCGGGTAGATATCACATTTTAAACTCAGCGAATGAGAAGCTATTTTCATAAAACAAATGTCAGATTTAAATAAATAACTTAATTGGCATAAATACATCCTAATGGTCCCTCTTAAACAGAAACCAGATTCCGTAGATTGTTTTTGTGTTCTGCACGTTCTCATGCGATCCTTGCGCCTTGCTTCCAGATGCCATCCCTGTGTCAGGATCGCTCCAGCCTTTACCATGCTGAGTAACAAATATCCACAGGTAGTGTTCCTTGAGGTGGATGTCCACGTCTGTCAGGTGAGTCTGTACTTTAATGAAATGGCGAATCAAAGTCTAAAGTGAGGTAACCCATGGAAGCTGTCAGTGGAGACAATTCAGGCTTGTTGTGTTATAGTGTTTATTATGACATTGATTTTGAGAACTAACACAGAGCCCCCTGTAAGTGTGTACTGTTTAGTTCAAATAAGCATTGTTTGGACAGGCCAGTTTCTGCAGTGTGCTTCTATTGTGTTCTTTTATCTCTCACTCGTCTTCTTAGTTTTAGCATTGACATTTACTGTAGCAATATAAGTTCTCTTATCCTCAGAACAACAACAGTCCTACAGCACTTTTGATCCGTACTCTTAACGGACTCTTAAATGTTGTGTGTTGGCTTAGGGAACTGCAGCAGCCAATAACATATCGGCCACACCCTCTTTCCTCTTCTTCCGGAACCGGGTGCGAGTGGACCAGTACCAGGGCGCAGATGCTAACGGCCTGGAAGAAAAGATTAAACAGCACACAGAGAATGACCCAGGCAATAGTGACGACTCGGACATTCCCAAAGGATATGTAAGTTCCCCATTCTACTTCATTATTTCCATCTTATTTATAGGGGTGGGTATCTTTATGGCCAAGATACACCAATTATATGATCCTTGTGTATCCCTCACAAGGATCAGTGAGGGCTTGTGCTCTGTTTACTGGGTGCAGCTCTGACTGCCACCCCCCTGACCCAGAAATGGATTAAGGGGAAGAAAATTGATGGATGGATATATTACACATAATGACCAGCTTTGTGTGTAACGTGTTTGCTTCAGATGGACCTCATGCCTTTTGTGAACAAAGCGGGCTGCGAGTGTCTGAACGAGAGCGACGACAGCGGCTTCGACAACTGTCTGACAAAAGACGCCTCTTTCCTGGAGTCGGACTGTGACGAGCAGGTCAGCGCAGGTCATGTGCCCGCCTGAGTATTTAGGCCCCTTTCTGTCAATTTTACTTACTTGCTGACTTTAATGATGTTTAATTTATTTCATTTATTTGAACGGGGAGGTGTGCGTTAATGACCAGCACATGCAGTAAATTCCAAAAGCTGTAATCATTTTAGTTAAAATAGTTGTCATATGTAATGTCAAGCAGTCAATCAATTCATGTCATTCATACCATGACTTCTCTAGTTGTCACACAGACAAAAGTATATGCATCAAATACATTTCTTGGCTTTTGTGCTATGTATAATTTTTACTTAACTGTATAGAGGAAAACAACTTTAAAATAGGACATGGTGTGTGGACAACATTTCCAGCTTTAATTTCTCCAAACATCATCTTCAAACTTCACACCCAATATATAATCTTATAATTTCAACCTGTGCTAATGGTCCTGGCATTATAGCGTCAGCTATTTAAAACTTGTATATCATATATATCTTGATAAACAATATATTATAATATACTATATATACTAATATATATATATATAATATACATAATATTTACTTACTTTAGTGCAGTAATGTGCTTTGCTGTGTCCAGCTGCTGATCACGATGGCGTTCAATCAACCGGTGAAGCTCTTCTCCATGAAGCTACAGTCCTCAGAGTTTGGTGAGTCTTGCACAACTGTAACATTATCAACTAAAATACCTTTTGTACTGTTCAGTCCAAAACCACTTTGGGATGAGTACTGCATAAAAAGAACAGCACCCAGTAAATCGAAATTAGGCAATTAATCGGCTTTTGAAAAAATCGAATTTGTGAAAAAATTTAAAATCGTGACATCGATTATTGTGAGTTCCAGCAGCACATGAATTATACTTGCAATATCAGCACAGTCTGTACAAGACTTTTATAATACGTAGTGGGGGAAACAAATAAAAAATAGTTTTGAAACTTGAATATTGAGCGGAAAGATCAACAAATATTTTAAGGGCAAAGTCTGTCTTCGGTGACTTTAATGAAAATCGATTTAAAATCGAAATTGTCCTAAGCAGGAAACAAAATCGAGATGTTACTTTTTTGCCATGTCGCCCAGCCCTAATTGGAATCATTGAAAAATAGTCTCCTTGCTAGTTATCTTGAAACGCTTTTGTCATCAAATGCCATATAATAACAATATAGTCTCACAATGTAGTAAGCTTTATTTATATACCGCCTTTCACAGACCAGAGTCACAAAGCGGTTTACAATTGTTATTTTTTGGGCACTTGTCCTCTCACTCCACACAGAGATGGGAGCGGGGTCGCCGAACAGGAGGCGCATGCCAGACCTATTGTACATATTTTTAGTGGTAGGGGAAACCGGAGTACCCGGAGGAAACCTACGCAGACACAGGGAGAACATGCAAACTCCACTCAAAAAGGCCCTGGTCCGGCCGGGATTCGAACCCAGGACCTTCTTGCTGAGAGGCAAGAGTGCTATCCACTCAGCCACCGTGCCGCCCAAATGCAAATGCAAATGCAAAATGTATTTGCATTTGTGTCAGCATGAAACCTGTGCATATTAAGTGTATCCTGCAAAAAGGGAAGAAAGATTCTTTGGGCAAAAACCAAACTCTAGTGCTGATATGAACTGTAAAAGAGCAGCGATGGGATTGGTCATGTGTTGTCAGACCCTTCACAGCAGGACAACACTCTTCACACTTAACCGTCACTGTTCTTCTTCAGCCTCATTATTGGTGTTTAATGTTTTAAACCATTCCAGGTCAGTCCATGTGGCTGTTTTGCCTCTTTGCTCTTTTTAGCATTGACAAGAAAGAAAAAAAAAAGAAAAAATTAATAGAAAGCTATGTCTTGATGGATCTTTTATGTATCTATAATCAGTGCTTTGAGGCTGCATGTGCCATTGGCAGGAAGTTTCTTAAAACAAAAATTGGATTGTAATTGTAATGACCTTCATTAGACCACTAAGAGTGCTTATTAAATACAGTCTGTTTATATATATATATATATATATATATATTTTATTAGGCCATGGCCTTTTAACTCTATGTTCACTTTCAAAAACAAAATTGTGTATGATTTTGCTTTCACAGTTGTCTGTTGTGGTTTTTCAAACTGAACTGTATTAACACTGCATGTATGAATATTCAACATTAAAAGTGTATAAGGTGTCTTATATTTTGCTTTATGAAATATGTTTACTCCCATTGATGACTGCTGTCGTTGTGTCCTTGGGCAAGACACTTAACCCCACTTTGCCTGAAGCCTCCACTGAAAGATCAAGGCAATGCTCACACTCAGAGAGCAGCTGTCCTCCTGTGGACTCACCACCTGCAGAGGGTCAGTGAGGGTTGGTGCTATGTGACTTGGGTGGCATCACTGACTGCCACCCCCAGACCCAGAAATGGATTAAGGGGTAGAAAATGGATGGATGGAAATAGGTTTTATATTCAGTGAAAGTCTTTTTTTTTTTTTTTAATGAAGCTCGCTGACCCCTGGGTTAGACTATAGGTAAAATAATGAAATGTGAAATAAAATAAGCACGTGTGTGTGTGTGTGTGTTTGTGTGTGTGTGTGTGTGTGTTCGTTCCCAGGCCAGGCTCCGAAGCAGGTGAAACTCTTCATCAACCTACCGCGCTCCATGGACTTTGACGACGCGGAGCACAGTGAAGCAACTCAGAGTCTGGAGCTGAGTGAGGATGACTTCAAGGAGGATGGACTCATACCACTACGCTATGTCAAGTTCCAGAATGTACAGAGCGTCACGGTGAGGCTTCACTTGGCAGGCTTTAACATTGGACACTTGATAAGGCGGGGCAAAACCAAGTCTTAAAAAGGACTACAATATTTTTTGTAATAATTCAATATTATGATAAATCCGAAAGAAGACAAAGATAATTTCATAGGTTACAGAAGAAAGCTTTTCTCAACTTTGGCAAACTCTGATTCTTGTAACGATGAATGTAGGTGTTTATACATGCCTGTGTGTTTCCATGGATACATGCATTTCTGTGGATGCAGGTAGTTCTGTGTGTTTCCATGAAGAGTGAGTTTCCATTCATAAAGGCCCTTTCCATGGAAACATGTAGAAATCTGGATTGTTTCTTTGTTGTAAATGCTGTGACTTTTCTCTGCAGATGTTTGTAAAGTCAAATCAGGGAGACGAGGAGACGACCAAAATCAATTATCTGACATTTATTGGAACTCCAGTGCAGGCAACCAACATGAACGACTTCAAACGGGTATGTGCGCTCACTGGGCTTTAATTTATGTAGTGTTGGGGATACTACTACTTTAAACATGTATTTTGTTACAGCACTGAATACCTGCTTTTACGTGGTTGAAGGCAGGTATACAGTGAACTGTATTCTGAATACTTGAATATGTTTAATGCTCATGTTTAAATAACATGTAGATATATAGCAATGTAATAAAAGTTGGATATATCTTTTTTATAATTAACAAAAATCTCTCATACATAAAAAGTAATATTCATATGTAATAACCTGTCTGCGTAAGACTCCATATACAATCTGTTAATATTCTAATAAAATGCACATTCTAACATGCAGACTAGTTGTAATAACAATGAATTTGTGTGCAGGTTGTGGGGAAGAAGGGAGAGAGCCATTGATGGCGCCACCCCAGAGATGTGCCATGTGAACTAGAGATGAACTGTTTGTAAATAAAGTGAGTCTTTTCCAAAGGCGCGTGAGGCTCTTCCTCTGTACACTAGTTATGAACAGTTAATTCAAACCAAATCCATTTAATTTTGTTTTATTCGGCTACAGTGAGGTCCACGAGTATCTGCACACCCTGCCATTTATTTTTTCTGGCTGTGTGCTTCAGGTCATTGAAATGTTTGAAGACCCAGCCGCGATCCATTGTCAATGCTCTGACTGAGGGAAGGAGGTTTCGGGCCAAAAAATCACAATACATGGCCCTGTTCATTCTCTCCTTAACACTGTGGAGTCGTCCTGTCCCCTTTGCTTAAAGCACCCCCAAAGTTTCCACCCCCATGCTTCACCGTAGGATGGTGTTCTTGGGATGACACTCATGCTTCTCTGTCCTCCAAACCAGTTTTTGCCAAAAAGTTCTAGTTTTGTGTCATCTGACCATATAACTTTCTCCCATGAGTCCTCTGGATCATTCAGATGGTCTCAGGGAAACGTTAGACGGGCCTGGACATGGGCTGATATTAGCTTTGAAAAGGGTGGCCCCAGCTTTCTTCAGGTCATTCTCCAGCTTCTGCTGTGTCGTCCGGAGCTGATACCTCACTCTTTGAGAGTCATAGCTGACTCGGATGGCTAAGGCCAGGCTAGACTGATTCTACTGTGTGCAAATACTTATGAACCCCAGTAACATACAGATAAATGATTTTTTTTTAAATCATAGAATGTGATTTCCAGATTCTTCTTCTTAGATTATGTCTTTAGTGGACATGTTCATCAATGATGTTCATCAATGATGAACATGTCAGACCTCTCCCTAATTTCTAATTGGAACAATACTTTCGGACCTCCCTGTGTATCTGTGGCGTGTTTTGATTGGTTTTGATGAAATGTCCAAATGAAGTAACGTCTGAATCCTAGAGGGTCTGAGCTTTACAATGAGCTTTATCGCATGCTTCTATGGACTGGATGGCACTGTGAACTGGTGTTAATGATCTCAAAGACTGCTTTGCGTTTGCAGCAGAGGGCCACAGTTTTTAATTATTGTTGCACAATGTTGTTACTGGCAAAATACATACTTTATTCTACCAGTTGTGTGTAAAATAACTTTTTTTTTTGTCTGGAGCCGCAATATATAACTATTGTTATATGATGCAGCTCCAGACAATTGTTCTTTAGAAGGACAGGGCACAAATTGCTCTTTTGATAACGAAGATTGCAGACCCCGTCTTTTAACGCTCTCTTTGCTCAGCAACTTTTAATTAAAAGAATTAAATATGTTCCGGCAGTCTGAATTCATAGTGGGTGATAATGCAGCTTGAACACACTTTGTTTTATTTATCTAACCCAGTTTTGAAATTCAAAAAAGGTATTAAAAGAGCCGTATTTCCTGACTCCAGCAGCTTTGCCCTGTCCACTTTGACACTCTTCCCAGTTCTTGCTGAACAAAAGTAAGCCCATAACATGATGCGCCTACCCCATATTTGACACTGGCCTTTGTGCACTGAGGCTGATGAGCATTGTAGTTTTGAGCCATATACAACATTTGCAGTTGGGCCGAGAAGATTGTTATGTACCATACTTTCTGGACTACAGGGTGCTCATGTATATAAACCGCACAACCTAAATTTGAAACGTTTTTTGAAAATCTTTTACCCACATATAGGTTGCACTTAAATATAAGCCACAGATTTTCATATTGTAATGAAGCAGGAAGTCGACTGTTTTAACTCATTACAACATGATTTAAATGACGAGGTGTTAAACAGCTTTAACCGGGAGCTTCCATGCCTGTACTTATTCAGCTGTCTAATTTCACAATAGTGTAGTTGTTGTAGATGGGACCTTTGTTATTATGGCCTTGGCCCGAGGAATGTGAGATAAGAGTGGAGAGAAGGCACAGGAGGAGAAAAACACATCGCCTCAGGGGGACAATATTAAATGCAATGTCAGGCAGATATTCTATTAAATCCAATTAAACCGAATTGCGGCGCCCTCAGACCCCGTACACAGGGACAAATCCAAGCCGGGTCAGAGAGTTCAAGCCTGACACACAATGTCATTCAATCTCAACTCCAGAGTTTTATGTCCATCGAGTGAACGAGCTGCGAGATCTTTTATCAACTGTTCCACCAAAACCACTCTCCTTTGTCCAGACACGGCACTCTCAACCACGACACGGCTAAGCTCCTTGTACATCCCATCAATTTTGTCGGCCAGCAGGTCGTGAATCTTGCGAACTGCCATGCCTCCGAATTTGTGGTAGAAGAGGATCGCTCCAAGCCCAAACAGGAGGATTCCCACCACCAAAATGCCAAAGATATATACGTCTTCCGAATCTTCAATGGACAGGGTCGACAGACAGAGGGGCTGAAACTTGTTCCAGCTGTCAAGAGGATACCCCGCCGGTGAAGTCCCGTCCGGGCACACGGGCTCTCCAGACCCACGCTTACGTGTTGAAAAGATAGAATCAATTGCGTTGAGGGACCAGTTAATCATTTCCATTCTTGTTAAAGTTGTTTGTGGCAAAACTCCAGGAAAAAGACAAAAACAGGAGATAGCAAGCAGTCAGAAGCAGGAGCGTCTGAGACACGTCTTTGCTCGACGGAGGCGGAAGTAGAAGACCTACCTACTTGCTGCACATTATATTAGCAGCAAGTCTGGAAAAGTACGGTATTCTGACCACAGCATCTCCTTCCCTGCTTTACTTCTTGCAGCTTTATTTTTACGCTGACTTTCTATGTAACACTCGTCCATAAAGGCCAGATGACAAAAAAATCACTTTGCAAAAAAAATGAAAAAATGCTGCCCATCATTGTACTTGTCTCCATCTTCTCAGATATTTTTACAATCTTCCTGTCTCTGCTGAAGAAAAGCTTCCCATAGCATGTTTTGCATTTGGGCAATTTCAATTTTTGTCTCATCGAACCGAAGCACATTCTTCCACATGGTCGCTGTGTCCCAATATAACTTCTGGAAAGCTCCAATCAGGATTTCTATTTGCCTCCTTTCAATATTGGCTTTCTTCTTGCCACTCATCTATAAAGGCCAGAGACTGATCGTTGTCACATTCTCCCAGCTTAGCTGCAGTACTTCACAGCTCTTCCAGAGTCGTCTTGAGTCACTTGGTCGCCTTTCTCACCAGTACTCTCCTTGTTTTTTGCATATATATATATATATATATATATATATCCTTGTTTTTTGCATATATATATATATATATATATAATTATAATCAGAGCTTGTTTTACTGCCTGCACTGCCACAGTGACAGTGCAGGCAGTAAAACAAGCCTGCACTGTCACACGAGGGAAGCAAAGAAGGTCTAACATTCTGGATAACCCTCCATAATGAGTCCCTCATAAAAGTAATAGCACCCTTGTTCTTCATTCTTTTTATGAAAATAATATATTTCAATAATTTCTATGGAATAAGCCAGGTCAATATACGGACTCCTCTATAACAAATGATCAAAAGAATATACTCTTTCTCTCTCTCTCTATATATATATCTTTTTTACATTATGTAATCTCTGGATCTTTGGGGCAGCCATTGCTCCGCTCATATAAGTAAGTAATATACTGTATGTTGTACAGTTCTTACACGTGGGAAAAACCCACATGTTTTATGCAATTTTTTGATATCTTAAAATTGTATTGTATGATGTTACTTAGCATAAAAAAGTTAACTTACTTTGGTACTAAATAATCAAATGGGCAGTTTGCACTGGGGTCATCTGATCTCTTTTAAAGAGCCTTTACACCGTACCGTGGCTTCTACTGTGTGCACTGTCACAGTGTCACCACAAGAGGGAGACAGCTGCATTCTGTCTGTCATTGTATAGTGCATACTTTCAGGTATGTGGCCTTTCTAATATAAAGATATAATGTTATTGATCTCACTTAAAGGCACACCGCGGACTTTGTAACCTAAAGAGTTGACACATATGAGTTATTTTATATGAATACTTGGGCCAATATACAGCGCTTGACACTTGCAATGCTCCGAGCGGGGCTGCCCTCTTGAAATACCGCCCATGTAACTTTCGAGCAGACGGACCGTCTGCCACCAGGTCACGTGACTTGGAAGAAACACTTGCTTTACGGCTACAGGCGCTGATATACTCATGGAGCTAAGGCTTTTGCTACTCATTTTTCACCTGCTCGACTCCTGGTCATGGCTGAGGCAAGGAAAAATTTTAAACCTTCGGAGGAGGCTAAAAAGAGGAAACGCGAAAGGGATCGTGCTGTAAGCTGCATGTCTGTATGAGCGCTGCTCTTCACCTGGTTCCTGGATGTCATCGACCGCAACGATGTCATTCCACGCAGCACGAGCTAGACGCAGAACTCCCTCATCCAGGATATAGAAGTCCATGTGTGGTAGATTACTAATGCAGCGGTCTGGAGGCTGACCACAGCAGAGTCTCTCAATATCTGTAGGCATGTCTCTACAGTTTGAACACACACACCAGTGCATGCTGTCTGAATACACACTCAAAAGACACCGGCTGACTGTTTGACTTTTGCGACAGTGCTGAGTTGCTTGTGGCCACTAGGGGCGCTAAACGTGAAAGTTGCAGGTCTAGCGCCCCTAGTGGCCAAGAGTTACACGGTGTGCCTTTAAAGCCTTTAAACCCCTTCCAAAAAAGGAAATAGGGATTATCCACTAATACATAGTGAATATCTATCCACAAAAGAAATTCTTCAAAGCACCAATCAATCATTCAACTTTATTTGTACAGCGCCTTTCCAACACAAAGCATCCAAATATTACGTGACAAAAAAATAAACATCTACATAAATATAAAATAATGCCATGGCATTAAAAACAAACATTTATATCACAAGGAATATTATTTTAAAAAAAGTTATTTAAAACCTTAAGACATTCAGTTGTATGTACAACATTAGATGCCTGTCTCACATTTTCTGAAAGACTGTTCCATATTTTACCTGAGAACTGG